TCCAAAAAAAACTTGCTGACTTTGGTTTTCATGTTTCACACGATGTTATGCTTCCTCCCAGAAGGCGAGATAAACAGGTACAGATGAGGTTACTATGGGTGGCCAATTTTCCAAAATGTTGTAAAAAAGAAAAGGCTCGTGTTGTAATTTGCAGCGTGGTTTCAGGTTCCTTGCATCGCCAACGACGAATCTGTAAGTGCACAGATCTGTCCTACAGATATTCGTCTTGATCCAGCCTATTACGCAATATACTATACGTATATGTATACAACATTTTTGGCCATTGGACCCCTAACTCTCCTAATTCTCATCAACATCTGTGTTGTATATACTGTACTGACGAGGAAAAATGATTCAGCAGGTAACTCACTGCAAAACTTTGCTTTGTTTGGGAATCACAATGCATTCTGCAGAGGAATCGGACACTATGAGTCTAATACTAGTTGTATTCTTCTTCATCTTCTGCAACTTCACGGCTCTACTCGTGAACTTTATGGAGATAATACTAAACAACCCGGTAAGCTAACGAAAGTACTGAAAAAAGGAAAACGTAACATCCAATGTAAATTAGAACATCTTGGTCTACTTTGTTGACTTATCAAATCTGCTGGTTGTGATCAACGGAACGGCCAATTTCTTCTGTTATCTTATATTCGGAGCCAGTTTCAAGCGCACCCTGAAAAAGGTTAATGCCGAATGACACACGATATAATAATTTATTACTAAAAATTGCGATTTCAGATCCTCATCAAACCTTGCACAAAGCCTAAAATTATATGGACATTGAATGGAAATGAGAAGGTTCCCGACTCGCATCATTCTCTCCTTTGAAGTTGTTTCTATCGGAGGTTCCTCGGGCAATAACTGTGCAGTCTTGGAGTTCAAGCTGTTTTATCAGATACTCTGCATGTGACATTGTAGCATTTCGTGCTCAGCCCTTCTTGTTTGTGACGAATCCAAGAGTGGACAACTAAAATAAACCCTTTTGGTTTTTACAGAATTTTCTTTCACCCATTTCGCCATGATTGGGGTCACTCAAAAGGCTGCGAGTATGGCCCGTAGTAAAGTCTCCTCAGCAGAGATCGCCTGAAGACAGCGTCAGGTGAACTCAATCCAAAGCAGGCAAGATTCGGAGAAACAATTGATTGGAAAAATCCGTAGCATGCATAATCAGTTTCAAATGGACTTTTACAAGGATGTCATGTTATGAGTTGATAGTTCAGAGTTTAAGTCCCAGACTGTTTTGCCAATGAATAGGAGTTACATGACGGATAGATGCGCTGTAAAGATGGAGACAGAACGTTTCGAACCAAGTCATTGATTGGAGCGTTTCGGGAAAATTACTAGCAAAAGTGGCACTTTCGGGTCGGTGAACTCCACATGTGACGCAAAAGTACACCTCGTCAGGGGACTCGTAAGTTGATTCCGAGCAACTTACGAGTTTACTAGGCGAACTTTTATAAAACACACTCTATTTCTCTTGTATGATCCGTCACGGGAACTCTTCTCTTAGGGACTCAGTTCATCTCAGCACAGCACCTCGCATGACCGTGACTACGGACCTTGTATCCTTATACTATGGCGGAGGGATCGGCATCATGTGAATTCGGGCAGCTGGACTAACCTCGTCCGATCAGATCATCTCACATGACACTTTACTACGGGCCTATTGCTTTGTTTGTGCCAATCCGCTCTCTCCTCCTGCTGCCAATGAAACCAACTATTTCTGAATACTTGAAAAGAGCAAAGAGGTGAATAAATGCCCGCTATATGGAATATAGAAGTTCCTCTGCATTTTAAATTTGGCGCTCTTATCGTTAGTGGG